TTCAGCAGTTGGTTCCCTTCCTCGACCACAGTGACCTGGCTACAGTGATCCATGAGACGGTCACCTCAAGGCTGGACTACTGTAACGCTCTCTACATGGGGCTGCCTTTGTCGCAGATCCGGAAGCTGCAGCTAGTGCAGAATGCAGTGGCCAAGCTGTTGTTGGGTCTCCCCACGTGGGAGCACATCCAGCCTGGGCTGAAAGTGCTGCACTGGCTGCCAGTAGCGTACTGAATCCATTTCAAAGTGCTGGTTCTTACCTTTAAAGCCCTACATGGCCAGGGTCCAACCTACCTGAGGGACAGCCTTTCCCCACATATACCCCCAAGAGCACTTCGGTCGGGGACACAACATCGCCTGGTGATTCCAGGCCCCCGGGAGGCAAAGCTTGCTGCAACCAGGGCCAGATCCTTTTCAGTGGCGGCCCCCACCTGGTGGAACGAACTCCCAGAGGAGATCAGGGCCCTGCGGGACCTTATGCAGTTCCGCAGGGCCTGCAAGACGGAGCTCTTCCACCAGGCTTTTATATAGGGGCCGCCACGACCACCACTACCAGTACTACCACTATCAGTGGTGGAGAAAACAACGGGGTTAGGGGCGGTCCCCAGAAGAACTGCCACAATTTTGCATGGCACTGATACTGCTGGACTGGCTTTGGACCATCGACAGGACAATATCACCCTAATGAAATTACTGATACCGTCTTCGGAGACCATCTTGTTTGTATGGAGCACTTTATTCTGATTTTGTTGTGATTTAATGGTTTTACTGTTTTATACTGTTTTTATGTATGGGCCTGTGCCCTCTTGTAAGCCGCCCTGAGCCCGTTCGCGGGGAGGGTGGGGTAAAAATGTTAATAATAAATAAATAAAGGGTGTTTTGTATAGTAGGGGTGAGGGGGGCTTGGACCAACAATACCCTAAAAATATTCAAGTGCCAGTACAAGACTATAACCTTTGACTCCTTTCTTTCATCCTCAGTTGACTTTTACATGTGCATCTCTAAACATTCTTGCAGCTTGATCAAATGTATGCACGCCCACTGATTTCAGGATATGTTATCCTCAGAAGGGTATGCACACAGTTGAATGGAACACTTTCCATAATACCAAAATGTTTCTTTTAAGAATATTTTAACGCATTTTTGACCCAGTAGATGATACTGGACTAGGCAGACTGGTGGTCTGATGCAATATGTAGCAACCTTAAGTGATCAGTTTCAGATGGATAGCTGTTGGTAGTCTCTAGCAGCAAAATAAAATAGGTTTCCAGTTCCGACAAGACAGAGGTGGTCTAGATTAGTAGAACGGTTGTCTGGGGACTTGATCTCCCCTGTGTTGAATAGGATTACACTCCCCCTGAAAAGCCAGGTTCACAACATGGGAATGCTGCTTGACACAGTGGTCACCTTAGAAAATCAGGTGGCTGCTTGTGGTTTTGCCCACCTTTGGCTGGCATGCCAGCTCTGTCCAGTCCTGGCTCAGCCTGATCTAGCCACACTGATCCATGCCTTAGTTATATCTAGACTGGACTGCTACAATACTCCCTACTTGGGACTACACTTGAGGAGTGTTCAGAGGTTACAGCTAGTGTGGAATGCTGTGGCTAGACTGTTGGTCAGGGCCAGTTAATTAATTTATTTATTTATTACTTTCTATTTATATCCCACCTTGCCAGAGCAAGCTGGCTCAAGGCGGCATACAAGTTAAAATACAATAAAAACAATAAAATACAATAAAATTCACATGAACAATAATTTACGGCAAGTGCTATAAGATGGTCCAATGTAGGAAGACCAGTATCCAAGGTTGTAACATGAGGGCCGTGTCATGTTTAGTTTCCGATAGCTCATTCGTCAGTGGCAGCTCCTAATTGAAGGCCTGGTGGAAGAGCTCCATTTTACAGGCCCTGCGGAACTATAAAAGGTCCAGCAGGGCCCTGATATCTTCCGGGAGCTTGTTCCACCAGTGTGGAGCCGCCACTGAGAAGGCCCTAGCTCTGGTGATGGCCAATCTGGCGTCTTTCAGACCAGGGAGAGTCAGGCGATTTTGCAACCCTGACCTTAGTGCTCTCTGGGGGACATATGGGGAAAGGCAGTCCTTCAGGGAAGCAGGAACATGTGACCCAAATCTAAGAGCAATTATACTGGTTTCCAATCCACTCCCAAGCCAATTTGAGGTGTTGGTTTCGATCTTTAAAGCTATATATGACTTTAGACCAGGGTATCTGAAGGACTCTCTTTTCCCATACATTCCTGCCTGGGAATTAAGATCACAGGGAGAAGCCCTCCTGGCTGCCCCCTCAATCAAAGAAGCTTGTCTGGTGAGTACACAAGAGAGGTCCTTCTCAGTGGAGACGCACGGTTATGGAACAATCTCTTCAAGGAGGTGTGCCTGGCTCCTCACTCTCTAGGAGGGAGCTGAAGATAGTTTTATTTATGATGGCATTTGATTAGTTTTTCTGTTTGGGCAGTTTTTATGGGGTTTTTTACTAGTGGTTTCATGAATTTTATTGTATTTTATTGTTTACAGTGTTAGCTGCCTTGAGTTCCTATAAGGTAGAAGCTAATAAATGTTTTAAGTAAATATGTTATAGGCTAGAGGAGGGTGTATGTTTAAACCTTTTCCTCCTTTTTACATGTAAGGTAGATGGGGACAGTTTAGAAAAATGAGTATCTTATTAGTTAGTGGTCTCATTGAAAGACATGAAGCAGCAATTCCACTGATACAGAATGACTACATAACAAATGGTATGTTTATCCTTGTTTGCTTTAACAGCTTTTTGAATGTGCTGCTATCTGACCTTATTTTAATTCAGTTCTTACCTGGTTTAATGGTGATACATATTAGTTTCTTATTATCCCTCTTGCTTGTTGTGCATACAACGGGAAGGTGGGGCATAAATAGTTTAGATAGGTATCATTAATAGATGATGATGTATGTCATCAACTGAACTTGCATATTCAGTACTTAATTATCTACATTCAGTTTCTGTGCCTTCAGGCTCTGTCCAGTTACCTTTGGGAGAGTTGGGTACAAGCAGTATGGGAGTATCCGGCAGCATAATTATTTTCTGCTTGGTAAAAGGGTCTGCAGTCTGTGGTTTCAGATAAAGCCATTAGAGACATCAGCTTGGATCCAGCAGTGTACGAGCAGAAATATAAATGGTAGTTTATTATTATAGTGCCCATAAATTGGTTGTGCAAACAGAAACATGCATGCAGATATAACTGACGTTGGGCAAGTTGCTGACGTGGTATTTTTTCTTGCATTTCTGCTTGAGCAACAGCTGTAGCGCAAGTAGAAATTTTGCATTGGATCCAACCCAATATGTGGAATAGGAAGTTGTGCTGCTTTTAATTTACTCACTTTTTTTAAAATTTCAGGCTGCCAGAAAAAGGAAGGAAGAGAGAGAGAGAGCTCAGAAGCTTTACAAACAAAAGAAAATGGAAACATATAAGATATTAAGTAAAAGGACTAGAAAAGGACAGCCAAATCTAAACTTGCAGGTGGAGCACCTCCTTCAGAAGATTCAGCAGAAACCATGAACATTTATTTTTAAAATGGGTGCTAATAAAAATACTCAGTGTAATTGAAATTATTTATCACTGCCTCTAGGATCAATCAGTCCTCTCAATTTTTTTTTAATATAGATTGCACACAAGAGAAGTGAGTGGCCTGCTCTATCCCCCCCCCCCCCCGGGGAAATGACATAAACAATCTGAAATAATAGATTTATTGTTTTAACTGTTTTTAAATTGCTTATAAAGGTATTTATTGAAATGTATATTTCAAAATGCTGTTCACCGCCCTGAGCCTTCGGCATGGGGGAGGGTGGTCTTAAATAAAGTGCTTGTGGTAGACTAAATAGATGAATTCTTGTAATGTCCACATTGGCATTATGTTTTTTCACTGAATTTTCTTTCTAATTTAAGCATGCCATTGAAGTAGTGCCAGTTATTCTGGTACCTCAGTTTGGAGGGTATGTTATATGGTCAGAGCCTTATTTAGCATCCATTTTCTAACAAGTTACAGGGTTTTTTTAATCATTACTGTCAAAGTCTTATATGCAGTAATGGAATGACAGGGAACTGAATGTTTAGTGAATGCTCAGGCCAAACTCACTACATATACTGTATGGTAAACTAAAAAACAAAATATATGAATATACCTAGTATATCGATAACACAAATATATAATTTGAGCTCTAATTGCCCATAGTGGATTATAAGATATTGAATAGTTGGTTGAACAGCTTTTGACAGAGTAACAGTGGGATCTTCAGGCCTTTAGACCTTCAATACCATAGGTCTAAAAATTGGTCAGATACTTCAGTATGGGCTCTTCTTACGTCTCATAAGTTTTACCCAACAGCTGGATTCTACCTCCACTACTGTGCATGCACAGAAATTATATATACCTTTTTTGTGAACATTCTGCAGAATCTAGAAACTTACAGATTGTAGTTGCACTCTGAATATATGCCCATTGTTTAGAAAAGGATGAATGTAATTCATCTTGTTTGCTTGCCTTCAATGCATAGGTTGGAAACTGAAGGCTCCTGCTTCAGTTTGCAGTAGGTTTTGCAACTTTTTTACCTTTCCACTTTGTCCCCTTATCTTCAGGTGTCGCGTTTGAGATGAATGCAAGGGTTTTATGTGTGGAACATTTGTGTGTGTGCAGTTTGGCTCCTGGCCATTAAGTAAATGTATTCTATGGGGAAAACATTGTGTCACTTTCCTGGGAATAAACCAGATATTTGAAACCAAACTATTTACAGGAATATGGATGAAGAATAAGACTGAAAATTTGGTTCGCTTCATATTAGTAATGAATAAATACTTGTTTAAATGCACTGAATAATTACAGTATACCTGGGGAAGCAGCATAGAGCTTTCCTATTGTGCCATTAAACTCCTCACCCAGTGAGAGACTCTGTACTTCAATTTAATAGCCCTGAGTACATTGTCCTCAATAAGGCTGTGGTAATAAAAAATAAAAACAGCTCTGAATGTAGCTCCTTCAAAAGTGTAAATAGTTAAGCACTCCTCTATAAATGCATGCATACCATTAAACAAGTTTCACAATGTATTTTATTATGATAAAAAGTATAGCAAGATTTGGTTGAGTTTAAGGGATTGCAGAGAAGACAGGGCAGGATATAAAAAGTGCAAGTAATATTTTCAATACTAAAGCCTATAAAAGAGAAATGTTTTATTATAAGTATATGCTGTTTTTCTGTCCTGTTTAGGAGCCCTAGGCTAAACTACAAAAATCTATGTAAAACACTAAAACAATATTATTGTAACAGCATCTGTAAAAACAAACCAATAGCCTGTACTTAAAAAGCTGATATAAACTCAGTCCGACCACTGGCACGGTAAAATGACTAGTCTAATAAAAATCTAGAAACCAGCAAAAAATGGCTAATCTTAAACAGAAAGGGCAGTTCAGGTCCTAAACTATAAAGATCATCTTTACGCTTTCAGATTTGAGAGGGTTCTATGCAAACTTCCTATAGGGTAGCATTCTGCAGTCATGGTGGTCTTCAGGCAAAAGCTGTCTCTTGGCGGCTACTGCTGTACAGTGGAGACATACAGAAAAGAACTTCCAGTAATGCTCTCTGTGCAGGTGGGTCTACATGGGAGAAGACAATCCTTGAAGTGCCCTGGTCCCAGACTTTGTAGATTGGTGCCAGTATTTTGTGGTTATATTAGCAGGACTGGAGTATCTAAATATAGCCATATGTTTCCAAATAAATGCTGTAATGTGATGGTCTCTTTTTTTAAAAAGTCCAAGTTATACTCTGATTTGTCAATAGCAAAAATCAGCTTTATTATATACAACGGTTGGTACAACAAATACAGCTTTCAAATATTAGACTCTGCTCCGAGTACTCCTACACAGAAGCAATTTCTACTACCTTCATATATAGAAATTGTTAAATTTTGACCACTTTATTTTTAAGAGATTAGTCTTCCCCCTTTTATTATTATTTTTACTTTAAATACTTTTTTAAAAAGTGCAGTATCAAACTTTTTGTATGAGACATAACAGACAAGAGGCCAGACTACAACCTACAACATGGCAACAATCCTCAAATCACACACCCAATATGAAACACTGAACAAGACATTTCCTAAGGCATTACCCCAGCCAGCTTGACATTGACACCAACCAGGTCAAGAAGAACACTAGATAAATGTACAGTGCCATGTGAAGTACAGACAGATTCAGAGACACGACTCTCTTCCATACAAAAGCTTTCCCTTGCCTTTTCTCTTTTCCCCTGTGTGGCCATTCTTTGACTCCACCAGTTGGTGCTCCAACTATGTGTGCTTGCAGCATGGAACCCTCTCCCCACTGGATAGGTTATACCTCTGACCCCACCTATTTCTGTCACATGACTCAACTGATGTGACTTCCAATTATAGGTTTGTAGCTCAGTCGGTCTCATGCCACCTGGATATTAGAGGTGGGTTCTGAGTCTGGAAAGGTTGCCGAACTCAGACACACACCGGTACTTCTCTTTGTACTCCTTGTGGGATTTTACGGGAATTTAGAACTCATAGGGTGCGTTCAGACGCGGCGTTTCAGCCGGCATAAACTGCTCCGGTTGGAACCGTTACAGTTTATGCCGGCTGAAACGCGATCACACTTACCTCCTGTCTGCGGATCCCATCGCTGTATGCCTGTTCACATGCAGCGGGTGTCGGCGTTTTTTTTTTTAACCTCAGTTTGAGCATGCGCATAGGCAGCCTGGGGTAGCAGAAACCATCACATTACCCCGAAGACAAACGTAGGGAAA